AGGGGATCTTGTAGTCGAAGGTCTTGCCGTGGAGGTGCAGGAAGGTGGGGTAGATACGGATGTCGTAGCGCCCGCGAGGCGTCAGGCACTGCAGCTCCCGGAAGATGCAGATGGCATCTCCGGTGGCCTGGATCACGTCCGCCTTGGAGAGGACGTTCTGAGCGAAGGCCTGCAGGGGAAGGGAGTTCCGGCCAGGTGAGGGTACCCAGCTACCCCCCCTGCCTGACCCACTGGCCCCCCGGCCCCCCGCTCACCTCCACGGGGTCCACGCCGTCCTCCTGGGTGGGGGGCACATAGAAGCGAACCTCCATGAGCGAGACCTCAGCGTCATCGTTCTGGTGGAACTCCAGCGTCACCTCGTTCTTGCCCGTCGTGCACTGGGAGACATTGCTGAGGGGGATCTCGAACACCGGCTGCTCCCCGATGTCGAAGGAGAGCAGCTGCCCTGCGGGGCGGGAGAGGAGACGCAGCCCGTCACGGCAGGACCAGAGCTACCGCGCCACGAGGCAGGGACAAGAACCCAAGGCCCACCCTGTGGGGCAGACCCACGGCATCCTGCTAGATCCCACCTCCAGCAGCAGCCTCAGTCTTCTCCCAAAATCCAGCAATGCCCCTCCTCTCCCCGCCGCATCCCCATGCTCCCTCCCAAAGCTCCAGGCCGCCTGCTTCTGGCTACAGCCCCGGAGACAACACTGGTCAGAAACCAACAGGAGCAAACGGTCCGTTCCCACCTCCCCCTGGCCTTGGACCAGGGAGGGCGCCCACCAGCTCCCCGGCCCCGGCAGGGACCGGCAGGCCCTGCTGGATGCTTGCAGCTCCCACGCTGACCTGTCTTTTACACCGACCGTTCCCTGCCTGCAAAACCTTCCCCCGGGCTTGGGGCCCGCAGGTATTTCCTGCTTTCCCGGGGTGACCGTCACCTCGCTGTGCCCGAGGGCACCACTAGAAACCGGGCTGCTGCCCAGGGGACCGGCTGGGCGCTGCGGGAACAGCCGCGCTGGCGGGAAACCGCCCCAGCTACCGGACCAGCCCCACTGCCTCGGGCCGCACCCGCCACGGAGGGCCCCTCTCCCCAGTAACGGCGTCACCACCTCTCACCTCCGAACCTCACCGTCCCCCAGTTCCAGCCCTTCACGCACAGGTCCTTCTCCGCCAGCTCCAGGCGGTAGTGGGCCTTGAAGAAATCTGAGAGCTTATCAAACTCCTGGGCAGAGAAGGAGGGAACGGCCGTCAGAAACCGCCACGTACAGGCAGGGGATGCCCAGAGCCTGTAACTGCGACGCAGCCCCCCGGCACAAGGGAAGCGGCAAGAAAAATGGGGTCAGAGCTGTTCTGGGGG